GTAAGGTTATTATTATTTCCGGCAATAAATGTAGTAAAGTAAAGAAGTACTTTTAATTACTATCTACAATAGGCTAAAGGGAATAGTTAATATATAATGAATAGTAATTTAATTTATTTAAGTATGATAATTAAAAGTATAGAATTATTAATATTATTTAATAAAGCTAAAAGGTTTATAATAAATATATATACGTAAAATTAATTTCGGTAATAATAATCTATTAAATACTATCAAACTATTTAACAATTTAAGTTCTCTAATTGTCCCTTTATATTTATTCGTATTATTTATTCTATAGTTAGCTTACTCCATACGCTTAGAATTAGTTTATTAGCGTGAGCCTAGAATTAGCTTATTAGCGTAAGCCCGGAACTAATTTACTAGTGTAAGCCCGGAATTAGCTTACTAATATAAGCCCGGAACTAGCTTACTAGCGTAAGCCCTAAGCTAATTCACTAGTGTAAGCCCTATTTCCGATGCCTTTTTTAATCCTACTTTAACCTATAGTTACACGAACTAACCTTTCTAAGCTGCTTGTACTACCGACGGTCTGGTTGGCCCGTGTATTTACTTTAAGTTCGTAATAATAATATAGAATAAGTATAATTTTAATTTTATAGTATTAAGAATATCTAATTAATATACTATATTAGAGATTTTCCTTTTAATTTTGTAGCAGTCTTACCTATTGGTTATTAAATTTCTTACTAAGTTTCTATATCCTAAAGTTCTTAACTAATAAAAGGACCTTATCCCCCTTTTTAAAGCAAAGTCCTTCGAGCCTTTTTAAATTAAAATACTAGTTTATTTCTTATTAAACGAATTCCAATTCTTCCTTAAATTTCTTATACAATATATAGTTTTCCAGCCACAATTAAAGCCCTAGGGATATTTGCATTTAGTCCTTCTAAAAGTTCTAGTTCGTACTTATAATTTATAAAGAAAAGTAAAACCTTAATAGTTTCTATAGGGGAAGTATTATATACTAATTATATTATTAGTAATAGTTCTACTCAATTACTTTATTAGAAATTAATATAGTTCTTTAAGTATTACTCTATAATTTAATTAATCCTTTCTATTTATCCGTTAGTCTACGGGTAATATATAGTAGATATTTTACTTTTAGTACCGAATTTAATTATTAATATTTATTAGAATTTGGATACGAATTTAATATCCCTATTTATAATTTATTCCTTCAGCTAACCGTATACTGAAGTAATATTCCAATAGATTATATCTATAAATTATTCTACTAACTATATTTCTTTATAGAGTAAAATGTAGTTTTATTTAATTAGCCTATCTACTACTATTAAAATACTATTATAGGTAATTTCCATTTTAGTATCTATAGATAGAGGTAATCTAGTAATAAAGTCTATAATTACTAAACTCTATAGCCTTTCTATAATTTCTAAAAGTTTGAGGAATTTATATAGTTTATATTTTATAGCCTTCATCCTACTATAATATTTATAGGCCTATAATATTCGAATTACTTTAGCTTTTAATTTTAGAAAGGTATAATACTACTATATTTTTATTATAATTCTAGTAATATCTATATATCTTCCCATTTTAGATTTATAAATTCCTATAATAAAAGTTTTTTATTACTCCAATTAGACGTAGGCCTTATTATAGTACTATAACTTATTATTCTAAAAGATAATTCCTTCTTCTAAGCTATTCTCCTATTTTTATTACTCTTTTAGGGTTATAATAGTAGTTTAATAATTAGGGTCCTACAATTTGACTCGGTAGATAGTATAGTACTCTACCTATTTCTATAGAGTGTATATAGATATTTTATTTAATTACTTTTAAAATAATAGTATAAAGGCTTCTACTATATTTTTTATATAATTTATTCGATGGTTTAAAGCGTTTGTGCAGGTGTTCTTTAAACTCTTCTTATAATTAATTTTGAAATTGAATTCTCATAAGAATTTGGCCTAGTATATTTAAGAGCTATTAAGTACCTTTGTAGTTATAAAGTATTAAAGATTATTATAGTTAATATAAATCTATACTTTATATATAATTCTACTAAAATATAACCTCTATTCTTAAAATGCTTCGATAATAGCTAAAAGCTCTTTATTTTAAATAGAATAGTTATAATGGAATCCTTTTAGCTTCTTAGATAAGAAAGTTATAGGGTGTAATTTCCTATATTTATTGTATTATTGTAACTATCTTCTGATAGTATAATTTAATATATTAATTTTAATTTTAAAAAGTTTATTTAAGTTAGGAAATTTCAATATAAGGTTCGTAATAATTGTATTACAAATAACTTTAAAAGCTTCTTCCTCCTTCCTTCTTTATATAAAAATAGCTTCTTTCCTAGTAAATTCGTACAACGGTCTAGCGATTTTCCTATAATTTCATATAAATATATAGTAGAAATTAATAAATTTTAAGAATCTATAGACTTTAGTTATATTCTTAAGTATAGGTTAATTCTATATAGCTTCTACTTTATTTAATTCTATTCTAACTTCATTTTCTAAAATTAAATATCTAAGAAATATAGTTTTCTTTATAGAAAATTCACTCTTCTCTATATTAATAGAGAGCTTATATTCGTATAGTATATTTAGTATTTGCTTTATATATTCTTTATACTCTATAAGAATATTAGAGTAAGTAAGAATATTATTTAAATAGTAAGTATTGAATTTATTAAGGTAGGGTTGAATTGTATAATTAATAATAGATTAGAATATTGTAGGTATATTAGTTAATCCGAAGGGTATTATAAATTATTTATAGTATCTATAGGGTATACAAAATATTATCTTCTATTTATTTCCTTCTTTAATTGGGATATAAGTATAGGTAATAGGTAAATTAAGGTATGTAAAATATTATATTCCTCCTAATTAACTCCGAATATATAAAATTAGGGGTAGGAGATAGTTATTTTTTATAATCTTTTAATTTAATTACTTATAATCGATATAAAGGTATAGTTTTCTATTCTTCTTCGGTATAAAAAGGATAGGGTACCCTATTAATAATATAAATTCCTATATATATTCTTATTTTAAATTTTCATCTAAGTACTTCTTTAATTCCATATTCTACTTCTTATTAGTATAGTATATTTTAAAGAATTCAAGCTTAATTCCTTCTTTAAGTTTAATTTTATAATTTTATAGTCCTTATAGCAGTAGTCCTTTAAAGTACTTACTAATAAAAGCCGGGTATCCTTAAAATTCTATTAGAATTACTATTTTCGGCTTCTCTGCTTATTAGTTTTAATAATAGTTAAACTTATACTAAATATCAATTATTAATACTTTTATTAATATTACTAACCCTTCTTCTATAACCTTATTACTTTTATTAATAGTATAAATTATAATTTCTTATACTATTTATAGTAGAACTATAGGAATAGTATCTTTGTAGTTCGTTTCCTTCTATACTCTAATTTTCTTATTAATAGTTAAGTACGTTGTAGGATATAAGTAACTACCTTCCTTCCAACTAATATCTAGGTCGTATATAATATACTATAGGCACCTTAGGATTATATCCTTAAATAGTCCTATTTTAATAATATCGAAACTAATTTCGATTATCTTATTTTCTACTATAATAGGGAATAGTAATATTTCCTATCTTATAATCTATATTTCAAAAAATCCTTTTACTATAAAGGGTACCTTCTTTTCTTCTAGGGAATCTTTAATTAAGTAACGATTTTAGGAAGATAAAGTTTAATTGAATTTTAGAATTTACTAATATAAAAGCTTAGTAATTTTTTTAATAAACTACGATTTTAAATTACTAATCTTCTTTCCCTTCTTTTATAGTAGCGACCTCTATAGGTATTACTGGGTTTCGGATTTTATTTTTTTAGCGGATATATTATTAAATAATCTATTTCGTATAGGGTTTTTAATTTTTGCCAGGCCTCCTTAAAAGCCCTAAGCCGTTTCTTAACTCCTAACGATAGTTATTAAGAGCGTTCTCTTCCTTAAGTTTAAATTCAATTAGCGAATTATATTCGTATAATTATACTACATATATAGTTTCCTCTTTATTTTTAAATTCGATTATCTTAGCTTTCCGAATGTAATTAGTAAATTCCCTTTCGATATCCTAGGTTTTCTATTTTATATAAATAGAGTAGTTGGATATTAAGTACTATTATTAATAGTAATCGACTTTTCCCTATCCTATATAGGTATAAATATTATAGGGGTAAATAATGAATTTCTTAATAATAACTATTCGTTGACTTTTATAAAAGGTTATAGATTAAATACGAATTATTCGTCGATAATAAAGGTAATTTATAAATTATTTCGGTTAAAAGTATACGTAACTAGTTTAGATTATCTTTACTAATCTAGCCTTTTAGTAGGTTAAAAATAATTATCCTACTTTTTTCTATAGTATTTATAATAGCCGTTAATAATATATTAGAACTATAATATTTGGTAGTATATATAATAAAGGAGATATATTTAAACTATATTTCCTTTAACTAGCTAATATAATTTCGAAAGCTCTAGCACTTTTTCTTAGGTAATTTTAGGCTCCCCTTCAATAATAATTATACGCTTCTTCTAAAAGTTGTCCTACAACTCATCCTTTTTACTCTTATTTAAATTGTACTATAATAATTCTATTTAATACTTATTAGTAAAATTATTAGAGTATTTGTACTAGTATAAATTAATAAATTCGAAAGTATAGTATTCCTCGATTATAGAGGCTAGCGGTAATACTAAAGAAAGAGTAGTACTTATTACGTATATAATTGTAAGAAGATTTCGGTTAGTATTAGGGAGGTTGCTAATTTCTTCTTATATTAAGGCTCGATACGTTTATACTTAAGGTATATCGGTATTTAGTACCTCTTCTTTAGAATTTTTTTTATTAAGCCCTTCCTATTTATATTTATTGTCAGCCTTCTACTATACTTCCTAGTCAAAGTTTATAATTCTATTTATAGCATTTTCTAAATCGTTTTAACTGTACTTGGCGTTAGCAATTTTAATTACCCTAATTTTTTCTACTATAGCAATTTCCGTTTTCTTTTAATTCAATTACTTAAGCGTATAGTAATCTTTCTTTATATACCTATTCTTACTATAATTAAAATACTTAATCTTTAAAAGGGTTTATTTACTTTAATTGGTTTAGGCTATATTAATTTCTATAGGCCTAGAATAGGTAATTCTAGAGATATAAATTTCCTAAGTCTTCTTTTTTTTAATATTAGTATTATTAGATTTAAGAGGGATAAAAGTGGTCGTCTTACCTTTCTTCTCCTATTTCTATTAGAATTATCAATTATTAATATAAATAGCTTTATTTATATAAGTATTAATAGTTTTAAAGTAGTTCTCCTTATAGAGTTCGTCCTTAATATATTCTTTAAGGCTATTATAGAATAATTGTATTAGCCTGTTATTATTAATATTACTAAAAAGGGAATTTTACTTAAAGAGCGCAATATAGGCTAAAGTAGATTTAGTCTATTGAAGATAAATTAAATATTCCTAAGCCTTACGAATTTTATTCTTCTTTTTAAAGATTTGGAAGAGGGCCTAGGTAAATTCCTTATAGAAATCTAAGATTCTCTTAGTAAAATCCGAAGTTTAATTTCTATTTTCGCAATAGTCCTTAAAGATAAGCTTATACTAAGTAAAAGCTTTATCTACAAATTGAATACTTATATAAACTACCTTTTGGAATTTAAAAGTAAACCGATCTCTATAGAAGTAAAGGTAAATATATATCTAAATTAAGAATCCCGTAAAGGCGGCCTATTAGCTATTAAACTCCTTAAGTATAAATAATTTGATTTTTAATTTATTAATAGGGGTAGTTTCCTCTTCTACCTTCGTTTTAGGGGTACTAGGTCTAGCTTCGAATTGAGCTTCAAACTAGAGAATATATTTCTATATAACTTTAAGCTACTACTAGACGGTAACGAAGTTTAAGAGCTTACCTAGAGTAATTTTTTTGTTATTTCCGGTGGTAATAAATATAATAAAGCGAAGAAATACTTTTAATTACAATTCAAAATAGGCTAAAGGGAATAGTTAGTAAATAATAAGTAGTAGGTTAATTTATTTAAATAAAATAATTAAAAGTATAAAGACTATTAGTATTATTTAATAAAGTTAAAATGTTTATAATAAGTATACGTACGTAACATTAGTTTTAGTAATAATAATCTATTAATTACTATTAAACTATTTAATAATTTGAGTTCTTTAATCGTCCTTTTATATTTTTAGACTTACTTCTATTTTTCTTAATTTAAGTATCTATTGTAATAATAACTTACTAATAGTATTAGTTCACTTATAAACCCTAATTTACTGTAAGCTCCAGCTTACTAGTAAGTTACTATATTTAATAAGCTTATACTTATACTTATACGCTCTACCTAGTCCTAAGGGTTATACTAGTCACCTTAGGTGGGGCTATCGAGTCCCAAAGGCTTAGGCGACCCTTATATTACTTAAGTTTATAATATTCACTCATTTGCCTCACTAATTTGCCTCACTAATTTGCCTCACTAATTTGCCTCACTAATTTGCCTTTCTAATTTTTCTTATACTTTTTCTTACTAACTTACTTTGTTAATTTTCCATACTAACTTACTATCTCAATTTTTCTCACTAATTTGCCTTATTTATTTACCTATCTAACTTGCTATTCAAACTTGCCTTTGCAATTCAGTCTCTGTTACATTAACCCCCTCTGCCTCCGCTCCCCCGCCCCACATAAAATGTGGGTCTCCTCGAACTTTCTTCGGGGAGGGGAGTGGGGTGGGTTTTGGAGGTTAAAGTGGGTCTACTATTAGACACTAAGACTATTGCAATTGACCTCCATGATTCACCTGCATAACCTACCTTTGCAATTTGCTTCGCGATTTGCTTTTCTTCTTGCAAGCCTACTATAAAGATGAGTTGCTTCCCGTGATTTGCTTTTTTTTTGTTAACCTACCGTAGAGAAATTTCTCCTCTCCTCTTGTAAACTTCCTATAATTTGCTTTTCCTCTGGCTACCTAACCTAGAGGTAACGTACCTTAAAGATGATTTTCTTCACATGATCTGCCTCCCCTTTGTCACCCTACCGCGACTATCTTTCCTGTCCTTTTTTGGCATCTGACAGGACTGGGCCTCGATAACCCCCCACATTCGACCAAATGGGAGTTGACATGACAATTCACCAGGTGTTAGTACACATGGGATGTGCACCAATTGGTGCTGTAAGTACTACAACTTTCACACACGATTTTCACCGCTACGCCTACCGATAAAGGTACGAGGTTCCAGGCTGCCAGGGTCCATTCTTTGCTGAGCTCCTGTTGTGGTAGACCACTCATGTTCGGCGTGGTGACAGCTTCAACCGGCATGCATAGTTGCATACTCACATACGGAGCGACAAAGTGGACGTTTGGTCACTGAAAAATTTTCAGCAGAGCGCAATGGATAGCAGATAACCATATCTACACATTCTGGTATATATGAAGGCACGACCACACTACTCACGGCATGTTTACCTCTCCCCAATTCGCATTTCACTTTCACAACAACTCCCTGTCCATTTCTGTCTGTTCCCGATCAATCATACTCCCGACTCATTCTCAAGATGTCGCCAACCCACTCCCCAGACCACCAGCTTCCTTTGCCCTCGAACGAAGCAGATGGCATGCGCCAAGCACTCCCAGCCGGTGATAGCAGCTCCGGTCAACAGCCCATGTACAACTCGCCAGCTGATTGCGGCGTGGGTGCTCCGTCTCCCAATCACATCCAATTCTCGTCGATGTATGAATCACCCCCAAGCTTCGTCTCCGGCGAACATCAGCAGACTTGCATGGGCTATCAAGACCGCCAAACGGGGATGATCCAAGGCGAGCATCATGGACAGGCCATGCCCATGATGCAGAACATGCAAGGAGCACCAAGCTTTTATTCGCCATCGTACCTTGCTGCCGTGGATGCTGGGCCGCAATATCCTTCTGGTTTCCCCCAGTTTGGCCAGGCCGGATGCTTCGCGCCCCAAGAGGCAGCGGGCATGCCGCAGATTTCCACAATGATCCTACCTTACAATGGCAGAGCGAGAACGTCGACGTCCACTCGGGATCACACGGAGTCTAAGTGGACGGACGCGCACGCCGAGGTTCTCCGCCAAGGCAAGCAAGCGGGCAAGTCGGTCCCGGACATCATCAAAGATCTCTACCAGATCGACGGCGTGGAAAGAACACCGAACCAGGTGTCCAAGAGATGGGCAAGAATGAGGGAAAATTGTGTGAAGAAACATGTCAGTACTTACCACATATTGCTTGCTCATTCAACTACATTGTCAACCAATGTCTCACTCTGCGGAGAGCAAGCACCGCTGACACTCCTTTCCCCACATTTGCAGGACATGGACTCGATTGTCCACGCTGTATGTCCAGAAATGGTTCGAATGCTCTTTGGTGAGCTGTCCAACCTCAATGTTGCTGGTATGCCCAACTTTGGTGTCCACCTGGCCGCAGCCGAGCGCCAGGCCAAGAGCATCATGGGAAAGCACGTGGCTAAGGGCGTGAAAGAAGTCCGTTTTGAGTATCTCCAGCAAGGAAGTGTTGCGCTCCGAGTGAGGGCGACGCTTCCCATCGGGATCCATGCGTGATTTCCGCCGTCGCTGATTTTTTGTTTTTGAAAAGTTATTCCATTTCTCGTTGCCGTATTGTTTCCTTGTTTCATTGATTCGCGACGCGCTGCGATGCCTCGTCGTTGTGTCGCGTCATTGTGTTGCGTCGTCGGGTCGGGCCGTCGCGCCTCGTCGCCGCGGTTTCGTCAGGTTGCTCGTCCTCGTCGCTGTATCTGCTTTTGCTTGTCTAAAAGTTAGCCTAGAATTGATCTCCTTGCCCTTGCCCAACACTGACCTTTACGCGATAGACTACACAAGTTTGTGGCGCTTTGCCGAGATTCGTGATGATGAGAAGCCCGGAAGAGAAGAAGGGAAGAAACAGCAGTTGAGGTTTGGATAATGTTAAGGCGGGGGGTGGCAGGTGCACCAGTCAGCACTCACAATAACCAAGCCCCATGGGGAAGGCGTGGATCGCGTACATACCATGGTGGATACAGTCGTGACCCCTGAAACTGCATGTAATTCAGACCTGGAAATTCTATGCACTATCTAGCATATATGCAGTATCTGGAGGACGCGGTCTCAGGGGTCTCGACTGTAATTGATAAATGGTGCATTTTGCTGGGATTCCCGCACTATTCTCCTTAACTAACAATTGAACACCACTCCCTTAAAATCATACCTTTCTTTTCTTTGAATTCAAGCAGGAACCAAGACTCTCGTCATGTGGACTTGCCTCAACCATCTTGAGGCATTTGCAAGTAAAACAACCTTCTGCTTGTCCCTTTGTTCTCTTCAATTTGAGAGCCGCTCGCAATATCCAGATCCCGGTGTATCGGTGATAGTAACGGTGCAATCTTCCGCCGAAACATGTCACTTCATTGGCACTTTGATTTGCAGATAATGCAAGCCTTGTGCTTCAGCGATGATCGGCAGGCCCCGTTACGGCATATAGAGGCGGTCAAATGATTGGTTCCCATGCGCTGGGCCTTTGCATAAATGGCTTCAAGCCAGGCACCACGCCGGCACCACGCTGCCGCTCCTCATCAACACAACGACACCGACCATGACCCTTTCACAACTTGGAGCCACCAGTCAGCTTACGGCCACAAACCACGTTTTATGATTCCACTTTGTTCAAGAAGTTCAATATAGACCCAAATACATATGATTGAGTCTATTCCCACCTCGAGGGATTCAATATGTGCCCCAGCATAGCCAAGCCTCGGCGATACCTTCATCTTTCCTATTTGGGAACTCACACGCAGCCCTTCACGGTGTCTCCATCCACTCCATACGCACTACCCAGCGGTCTGAATCCTGGATGATGTCCTACTACCCATAAACCTCCCCAACAACATGACTCTCCGCCTCTCCCCTCGTAAACCCCAACCACTTCTCCTCAACCTCCACTTCATCTCTCACCACAACCTGCCTAATGACTCCCCAAGACAACGGACCCGCCGCAATATCCGTATCTCCTTCCTCCTCTTCCTCATCTCCATCTCCATCCCCATCCCCACCCTCTCTCTCCCGTCTCACCCCCTTCCTCATTAGCGGAGCATGCACATGACAAGCAGCAGCAATAACCGCCGAGCAACCCCCCATAATCAGCATACCCGCCGGATACTTGCCAAAAACCGCCAACCCCAGAATTGTCACCCACGAAAGCGTTCCCAGCACAATCACCCAGAACATGGCACAGAGGGAGTACCCGAGCGTAAAGGTGGTGGGATTCGACTTGTCCAACGTGGTTCCGTCCACATCGATAAAGTCCACTTCGGTGAAATACAAGCATTGGCTCATCAGCCAGTGCATAACGCTGGAAACGGCGACGAAGGGGAGGGCGTAGCGGTAGGGAAGGCTGAGGAAGAAGGTGGACCGTTGGGAGCCGCGCGGTTGAGAGGTGCGGAGCGTCTTTGTTGTTGGTGTTTTGGGGCTTGCTTTTCCTTTTCTTCTTCACCATGTCATCCATGTCTTCTTTTTCCTGGTCTCTGTCTGGGTCTCTACATGGAAGGAGTGCCACTCCCGTTCGGCAACCATCTTGGTCAAGATGTTGTTGAAGAAGAGGTACGTCAGTGAGAGAAAGATTTGGGGCGTGTTGGCGAGCAGGACGAGCCACCAGCGAAGGGGTGGTCTATCTATGCCGTCGCTATCGTAAACGATGTGGTCAGAGTCCATGGAATCGAGTTTGAAGGTGAAAAGGGACTTGAGATGTTGTGTTGCGGGGTTTTCGTTGCTCAGAGCTTTGCCGAAGAACAAGATACTTTGGGAGAACATGTAGAGAAACCAGACCATGGTTAGAGACCAGCGCGTCAAGGAGGCTGATTTCCATAAGGGCGTTGCTTTGGGCTTGTATGCCCGCGGCGGAAGTGCTGGACGGAAGATGTTTGTGAACGATGTGTGGTGGTAAGTGCAGCTGGATCTCGGGATTGTCTTTGAGTCTGGAGGCGGAGGCTCGGTTATGAACGAGTCGATCGCGTCTCCGATGGTGACCAGCGGTATTGATCTGTGGAACCAAGCCATTGAGCTGAGGCAGGCCGCGATGACGAGGTTGCAGAAGGTTGTCAACCACCAAAAGACTGGCTCGGCAAGTAATCGGCATTTGGGATTGATCCGTCTCACGAAAATCTTGCCACGAATCCTAAAGACCGGTGTTGATGGGCCAGATCGATTTGTTATTGCCAGATAATCGTCGATGTAACAGTGAGCATTCTTTGCAGACGGAGGAATAGCGCACAATTGGCCCCAGAAGAATCCTTGCGGATCTATGACCTGGACCAACCCGTCTTGGTAGTCTAGAGATACCTCTTGAAATTCATTCAAAATAGTTTTCCAATAAGGGTCCTCTGAAGAGTTCCATCCAGTCGTCTTGGCTGCCCCTATGACAGTGATCTCTTCCATCCACCATGCCTGTGCATCCGAGTAAATCCTTGCTGGCTCAATGCGGTGATAAAGAAATCCAGACACAGGCTCGGATGTATTGGCTCTTGTGGCCCGCGTAGACTTTTTGTCGGCAACCACAACGACGCCACCGTAGGAGGAAATCCTGGCTTTGAGATCCTTGTCGATGGACTTGACATTTACCTCTCTCCATTGCTGTGTATCCTGAAGGTTAAAAAGCACGCCATGGGCACGTCGTGTTGTCATGAGTTTGCTGGTGAAAAAGAAATTCAGAACCACCTGAAGTTCGAGAGACCTTGAATGGACGTATCAAATACTCTGGGGAGATGGCCACCACGTTATATGATGGCCTTGAAGTGGTCGAGAATATGGCCGAGTTGTAAACCAAGTGGAGAGGCAACACCGTAATCAACATGGTTGTCCACATGATGAGTCGTTTTGGACGGAGATGGAGCATATTTCTCAGAGAGAAAATGCCAATGTCAGCGGTGCCGCCGCTATTGTGTATATGATCAATATCCGCACGGGTCGGAGCTGCCCATGCTTGCATGGCAAAGTTCTTTCGTGTCGTATTTGGTTAGCGTACCATGAAGTTTTGTAGGTATTTTGGGCCGGAACGCGGATTGCATAATGCTAACTAACCTGTGACGAACCGTTACAAGCACAAGAGTATATCGCTGGGATGAATAACAACGGTAGTAGTAGCCAGAAGGTACTGGTCAATTGTAGAAGCTATTGCTTGCTGAAGAGCTATAATAACGAAGGCCGGGGGGGGGCCTTCTTATATACTGGCTTTGAGCCGGTCCCGTAGTCCCGTACATTCGGGACTCCGGGTCCTTCCTGATTGGTCAATCTATCTAAGCTGGTTGGTTGGATCGTAACATAACCGTGGCACCAAGAAGGCCAGCTGAAAATATATTCATAAGCAAGTGTACAGACGTATCCGCCCGGTTGACCTTCTTGCACGAATCGTCCATTATGGCCAGACTCGCACTGTCCCGGTCTTGCCTTTGGCGTTTCGACATGATTTTCAAGATAAGACTGACAACTATGTTGACGGATAGCATCAGCCAAGAAAGAGCACACAGTATCTTCAGAGCTCCTCGCCATCCGCAAAGACGAGTGTAATAGGTTGAGAAGCGCTTCATCGGGGAGAAAAGGCTTTCTGGGGTTGATGTTGCCTGCGAAACAGGCACCCTGAAGGGAGCTCAAGCAGATTCAAGACGAGATGGAATGCCCAAATACAAAATCCGGACTGTAATTGCCCCCACTTGCTTTGCCGTGGGATTACACGGACTGAGAGGAGCCGGTCGGAGACTGCGCCCCATTTCCAAATTTGAACTTGGAGTGTATACGACTTGTGCCACAATTTAAATATGAGCCGCCGGGTGGTTATTCGCTGCTTCGTCGGTGTGATACTGGCGTACCGCCCATGAGCTCCGGCTTAAATGCGGCGTCATTGACAAATCTGGGATTCTTGGAAAATCCCATTGGAGAACCATGGTTTACTTCGGTCAGCAGTTAGAGAGCACTAATACGTTGTGTGACATAACCTTTCGGGTCGGTAAACAGGCGTGATGGACTGATTCCGATTGAACCAGGGGTGTAGAGGTTGTACATGAACTGGAAAGCTTTCTTAGCGCAAATGCTTTATCCATACCTCAAACCCGGATCCCATAAACCGCTCCCCGTCAAAACCAACGACGACATACCTCTATTTCCCGAACGATACAAACTAGAGGTACTCAAATGGCTTTCGCATCACCTTTTGCTCTAGAAGAACCCCAAGGTGTCTGCTCATGGATTCTCTTCGCTGGTGACTCGTTGGCCATCGTTGGATCGGCATTGACCGTCCTGTACACCTGTCAACGAATTAGTCTTCGAACACAGCAACTCATGCAGAAAAGCAATCCTAACAACTTCGAAGAAACCAACGTTAGCGACACGGCAAATAGATTCCAACCTTGGCAGATTCGCACAGCCAACTTGCTAGTCCTCCACGCCGCTCTCTGGGCCATCGTCCGTTCGGCCACCCACCTTACTTTTGCCACCAAGCAGTATCGAAGGAACACTCAAGCTTTTGATTCATACGAAAGCAACATATACCAACTCGAATGGTGGCGGAGTGACACGGGGAAACTTTGGAATGTTGTTCAGACCTTCACCTGGGGAACGCTGTTATTCACGGCAATTCCCACGCTTTGAATGGTCAGACAGTTCTTTCCTAAAGCCTTCTCACCAAGGGCGCGCACGCTATCGCTGCTGAGGGATATCCTACTTGTGTTCTGCTTTGCCGTTCTTTGGGTACTTGGCAGTTGTCTGACAACGGCCTCCCTGGGGGTGAGCCTTGCTATGCTGGCGATGGTCGACGTGATTATGGTCAGTCTGCTTTTGTCCATGTTCAGGATTCAGGGAAATGCAACAAGAGAAAAGGTAGAAGGCGTAAGTAGATCTCTCCAACTTGACCTTCACCGGTGGTTACGGGCAATTGTACCCCCCTGGCATGTATCCCACCTCTTAAAGAAGAGTACTTTAGCTAACCAAGAAAATGACATTGCCACTAACAGAGGGAAATCAAGATACTGAATGACTTCGTCAAAGGGACGCTAGGATTTCTCGTGGTCAGCATAGTTTTTGTTACAGCAATGTGTGTTATGACGCTGCCGATGCTTCTTGACTGGGGCGGAATCGACAGTATGCTTTACCCATCCGGTCCTGGACTGATCAAATCGAACCTCACGGTTGATATGATTGGGTTCATGCTCGAGATTTCTGCTGTCCAGTTCTTTCAGGTGTGGTTGCTCGTGACCACGAAGAGATTGGAGAGCTGTCCAATTGACGAATGGACAATGAGGCAAGAAGAGGTGCGCCACGAAGCCCACGTCGGATCTGGGCCTAGAGGTACTCTATGTGTTCTGACGAGGATCTGGACTTTTGGCATCTCCTCATTTATGAGCTACCACAGATAGGGTACCTCGCCGAGGATAGAGAAGCTGAGACCCGTGCCAGGTTTTCGCCTGTGAAAATAGGTAGCTAGCAAAGGAAAGCATTAATCAATCGAATATCTTGGACACCAAGACTACTTAATCTTGAAGGCGCCCTCACTAGAGGCAAGTATCGAATATATTTGAGGTCATTGTGTTTAGTGATGATTCAGGGCGGTAGTTGCTAGTTCTCTGTCCCGGGCCAGGCTCGGCTCAAGCCACAACACAAGCCCCACCAGGTCCCCGGTCCCCGGGACCGGAAGAAGTTCCACGAACCCCGGGCCCGGCCCCACTTGCACAGTCTCACTGTCCCCACTCTGCCGGACACTCAAAGACATCTCGACCCATCTTGACCGAACCGCCGGTCCAACCGGAACCCAAACCCAAACCCAAGGTACAGGTCTCTCCGGCATTCTATCGAAACCATATACCAAAGCATTCAGCCGCAGGACTCCCAATTTGGGATTGCTCACCACAAAGACACTCGTCTGTCTATCGTCACCAAAGACCCGACTTCTGGCCTCCGGCGCTAGTACTACCAACTAGGTACCTTCACCAAGCCCACCAAGCTGCAAGAGGCCCAAAAGCAAAAAGTCCGACCACCAGTCCACGGCACGGTCTCGAGATTTATCCATGAACTGTCTGCACATCATCGTGCCTGCTTCGGGAACTTGACAATGCTATTGGTGGAGTGGAGGATAGAGTGATGGGGACTGGGTAAAGTGGTGTAACGCTGCTGCGAGAGGCCCGTGGACAGCTAGGATGTGGGTTGTTACGGAAGCCCAGGACCGCACCGGGTGACCACCTCGAAGGTAGAGGTACCTAGGTAGGTCGCTAGAGGTATGGGATGAACGGAATAAAGGGCACATTACAATGATCATTGTACTGCTTCGGGCTGAAATAGTGTATGAATGATCGTATGGTGGTTCTGAAGTTCTAATAAATAGCAATGTAGGTATGTACTCACTGACAGGAAAGGAATGTAGGAAAAAGTACCCCTGTAACGCACTACCGAAACTGTGTCCCTTTCGGAACAAAGTCAACATAACATGAGCCTTGTAACCAGAAAAACAACGAAGAAAATGGTGAAAATCTGCAGGAATGGAAAATCGCAACTCGTAAAACAGAATGCTCATCGCCGGGAAGCCAGCAGGTTCAAAGTGATCAAGCCTGTTTCTTATCATGACCGACGGCAGCCTTGTGCCTTTGCACATTATCCTTTCTCCCTCTGTAGTCGCAACCCGGGTAATCACACTTCGTTTTCTCCTCAGGAATTTTGTTGTCGTGAGCATAGCCGGGGTGATGCGTCCACAAATGACGGTGGAGGTCTTTGACTTCTGCGGCTTTGTAGGTGCAGCTCGGACATTCGCGGGGTCGGCGGTGGTTGTTCTGGTGTTTGCTGTAGAAGAATGGTAGGTTAGAAAGTGTAAACAAGGCAACAAGACGAAACGAAGCATTGAAAACAAGGCAAGGTAGAGGTGTCGTAATCGGAAGATGGACGTACGTTAAATCGCATTTTCGCTTAAAGACTGGCTGAGTTTTGCATTTGGACCCAATGCATTTATACTCGCCAGTTTCAGTGATGGTAAATGCTGTCAGTTTCGCTAATTCCTCCTGGTCGTTAGATTGTTCCATGGTATCGTCGTCCTCGGAGGGCTGAACTGGTAGAGACAGTGGTGGCTGTTGCTGATGCCAGGCCGGAGAATGGTGTTGAAACGAGTGTTGATAAGGAATAGTTTGTTGATTGTGTGGGTAGCCAACTTGCTCAGGAATAGCATATATTGGGCCCACCGAGAGTGGTAAGGCTCCAATGTCGTTTGGATCAAACCCCGAGTCTGTTTCTAGACTCAGGTCCAAGTCTCCAACCGCAGGTTGTTCGGGATCCATCGTCTATGCTGATGAAGCGTAGCAGAGTGGAGGGTGGGCTCCTGCTACTTCTGCCGAATCGTATTGGTTGAAGTCTTGTTTTCCAGTCAAAGGGGGATCAGAGGCCTGATAGGCTTCGACGGATTGGTCAAATGAATATCCCGAGTAAGTTTGTGGGATAGGAGGGGGACCCGAAGGCCCCAGGCCAGAAAAAGGGGGAATAGAGCAGGCCTGAGTATTAATATAGGAGCCTGAGTCCTGGATTCCAGCGTCGTACGTGGGGTAGTGGCTCATATTCAAATGACTGGGGTTGACAGTCGGGTTCTCCTCATTGTGGTGCGTGGGAAAGTTGTGTTGCTCGTTTTCCCCAGGGTCGTCTCCACTGATTCCAAAGGAAGATCCTTGTGGAGTCAATGGCATAGCTGAAGTCACGATGCCAATGCAAGGAGGAGTGTCCGGAGCGAAAGACGACCAAGGACTGTCCGGGTCAGAATAGCTCAAATCCTCACCGGAGCTGTCAACAGTGACATCCCAGGGATTGGGGCCAAATTCAGGATGGTAACCGGCCTCGGCAACTGAAAAGTTGTGGTCAGACCTGGTATGGTTGTTGTACATGACAATAGTATGTCGATAACGTCGCTTGTATCTGATCGTGAGTGTGTGCGCATGTGTGATGGCGGCGTTCGAAACGGATCAATAGACGGACAGAGCGGTTCCGGTTCCGACAATCCTAAGGTTTCTGACGCTGAAAACGACAAGACGTGTCTTCGGTTGCCGGTGGCCTCGACACCGTTGGAGCCACGCAGAGTTCCGTCGGTGTGAGTAACAAGATGATATGAAGAACCCCTGGAAGTCAGGAAGGGACAGGCAAGACTGTGTTCCGTTGCTTAGCAGTGCTCTTGGTTCAAATACTGGGTCCGCCATGGCTTCTTGACACCGTGAATTCCCAATGGAAACATTATATTCAGACCATGCTGTTAATGCACGCGGCCCACCGCCAACCGTAGAACCCCAAGCAAGGAAAGTGTTTTGGATACATCATCCACATGGCCAACAAGGCTAAATCTGCCTGAGGCCTACGAGGCCCACGACGGTGATGGGGCCCTTGCTCCCACTGGCGTGGTAGGATTGGTAGCGTGTAGCCACGATGTTGGCCCAATGATGTGACCTGATCTTGCCCTCCAACGCCCTCTAATTGGTCCAAAGAGACGCAAATGAAACGGTGATAGGCTGTCAATTGTCGAGGTAAGGCGTAAAAGTAGATAAAGAATGGCATGCCTCCAATGCACGATCAGCCTGCCTCCATTCGACCCAGCTCAGCCCAGGTCTCTGAGCAACCGAAACTGCTTCCTCGACTCGCGCGGTTGCGTAAGAACCGGGCAAAAGGGCCTCTAACATTTGCATAGACCTGTTTCAACCTCCATGGGGCTAAGAGCCTTGTTGTTTGTTGTCAATCACATCACGCAGGCTGCGGCAGCGCGTGGAGGCATGCTTTTGGCTCGTCTTTTCCGTGGCGGTGGGCCTCACCAACCTCAGATCGCCATCGAATCTCGACGAAACCGGTCGCGCCTACGCTGTGGGCCTCACGGTGATGCCTCTGACACAATGAGCTGGGGATAAAGTACTCGATGGGTGGAATTGGCGCAGTCCATTGTATAAGAACTTTCGAAAAGCTCGCCTTCTTCGACATCGACGACGCACCTCGACCTAGTCCATTTCATCAGCTCACCAGAATTCTTCAACTGTTTCCTCTTTGCGACCACACTTACCCGATATCTTTCCTACCCATTCTTCCCAGCCATCGACAAGATGTCAACCGACGACTTATCCTCCAATATTGTCCCGCTGGATGCTGGTCTCAGCCTCAAGTTCTACGAAGCGGTTCTCTTGCTCTACAGCCTCAAGGAAGTCAAGTTCGAGGCGAAGAGCGTCAAGGAACCGGAAGCAGACCTCGAATCCGACACTGGAAGATCATCGAGGGACTCATTCCGATGCTTCGTCAACAAGCTCGGTCAGATCTGCGACAGCGAACTGAGAGGCAAAACTGTGACGGCATTCGCTGTCCTCCAGCCTGGGGGGATTCAGTATCGATTTGCATCCAACCAGCGGACCAACGAGGAGCTGCAAGATGTCAAGAAATACATCACGAACATCCTGGGAATTCTGGGAAGCACTCCTGACGACCAATTGAACGGAGTGTTTGGGGCGGCCCTTGAAAGAGTCATATCCTTTAACCGACCTGCCATCCAACAGCAGATCAAGAACTTGACCAAACAAGAAGGGATGAATCACTGCGTAAAAGTATGTCAAGAGGAAGATACCTCTGAAGGTAGGAGCACTCACGGGTATCATGGAGAGAATTTCACCGGCTAATAATGGGATTGATACAGGTCGGAAAGCTGCCCTTGATATCAACACTCTCAGAAGATTTGCCTGGTTGTCCGAACGAGAAGAAAGAGGTGGACCGAGTCTAAAGATCTGTAAGTGGTTAAGTCTCAAATACTTCTGTCCCCCAGTCAACATATTAACAGGTTATCGACAGTTGTTACCGAAACGCGGGAGCTCCTGGAGACCATCAATCAGCTGTACAACTCTTCTTTCGAAGGTTTCATGCGCGACAAGGCCCGGGCAGACAGAGATCCCAATTCAAAGACACCATGGAGCGAGCTGCGACACGCCTTTAGCCGTCTTCAATCCTACAACATTGCTGTCAGAACACTCATTTCGATGCGGCGTCGGCGTCGGGAGCTGTTTGAAGACTTTGAGGTCGTACCTGTTCCATCCAGCGTTCGATCTGGCTGCCCAAACGTCCGTCGCACCCTTGATGGTATCATCAAACGCTTTCCAGAACAGATGAAGATGGCTCAAGCATGCCATACCAATCTCCCGGAGGAGCAGCGGGGTGCGGTGGAAAACAAGATCAAGGCGTGCACAAAAGGCAAGTTCAAGCCGTATGTGCACGCGGAATTGGTGTTGCTGGACTCAATTCTCACAGAGCAGCGCGAGGGCGAACCGTTGCGCTTCTTTGCCGAGGCGGATTATGATCGCTATATTGGCTGCAGCAAGCCTACTTGCCGCTTGTGTAAGTTGTATATCGACAACCACCCGAGCGGGGTAGAATTTCGCCATGGTCATTGTAACGTCTACCATGAGTGGCGTGCCCCAGATATCTACAATGAAGACGGTGTCAATGTTGCGGAAGCTATGAAGACAAGGCAGGATATCCATTACAGGATGCTGGAGACACTGCGGCAGACGATCAAGAGGTGGATTACTGACAATGTGGCTGAGAGGAAGCTCCACGATTCCAACACGAACGCAACGAGCTACATTGGAGGAGGAAGCTCTACATACAATGCACACTTGTCAGCACAGGCTTCTCCCGATAACATGGACTGTATGTCGACCATGGGCGCGGTGGATGACTCGGATGATGTGGCAACCATGTTCGGAGGGCTGTCACTTGGCGGTGACAGTGGACAGTCCTGGTCTCCGACGTCGGTCAGCAGAAGCTCACAGGACACAACTCCGGTGCAAGAGGATAAGGCTGGTTCTCCTCGTGGATTGTCCATGGAGTCTTTGATTGACAAGAAAAGACGACGCCCTCTGATCATCGAGGTTGAAGAGTAGGACATTAGATCGAGCGTGGCGTGTGGTTGGAGCGTTGGAAAGGTGTTGGGGTCGAGAGACGTTGATGGAATATGGGCGTGGACTTTCGTGTGTGTTGAATGTTACCGTTGTTAGACTGCCATTGTCCTGAAGATTCCTTGCTGCTTTGCGTTGTTCGACCCAGGGCCCAGGCCCAGATTGGCCAAGATTGTGACAAATGGGTTTTGCCATCGTGGGATTCGCGAGGTTGAAGACTTCCGGCAGTGCTTTCCGCTGGACACAGATTGAGTGTGTTGTTCTTCCATCTTTGAGAAAGCTCGATAGAGGTACCAAACATCATCCGTCTGCCCCTTCCGTTCCCACACGTTCAAGGTACCCACCCCACACCTACCTTTCACAGGTGCCTCAGCTGTTGTGTCCATCTATCGCCGAGCTCGCCAACACGTCTTTCCATCTCATCCCGGGCGAACTCTTGAGTCAGTTAGTCATGTTGACAGGCCAGAGATGAAATCTGTCAGCTGTTCCCTTCCCTTGGATGGACCAAATGGGATACGATTGGAAAGGTTCCGCCTGATAGCTATTTCCTTCCTTTTTGGCCTGGTCAACGACGTGGAAGGAGCTGATCCAACCTGAAACCTTCTCATCGTGAACCTTCCCCATCAGATTGGGGAATAACTGATGAACGAGATCACCATGCAGCAGCCCTGCTCTTTCCTCATCAACCGGTTATTTCTTTCAAGTTGTACCACCGTATTCTTCACTTGAAGAAGGCCTGCCTCCCCGTGTACGCCCAGTTCGACTTCCAATCGGATCAATCATCCTCTCACTGATATCGATTCCGGGAACGTTCCAATCGGGGTGTGAGTGCGAACAGTACCACAGACTGGGCTTGACGGGCATTCGGGCCATTAAGGAAGGGCCGTGGTGCACCAGCAGTTTCCGGGTACCGGTTGCTGGGATGCAGTACCTCGTAGAATGAACGACGGGAGCTCCGATTACAACGGACGTAGAGAAGGCAGTTGCTGTTTCCGAGACTTTGAAGAACCCGATGCGATCATGCCGTCACGGTGGCTGTGTTGTTGTCATCGCGGGCAGGAACAGTTGCGAAGGTTTGGGACTTGGCGCGGGCGGGGTCGTGGACGTGGGCGCGTAGGTATCCACATGCATGGACAATTTAGGTTAGCGCACCATCCCGGCAGGCATCACATCGAGGTACCTCCAGTCATGGCCGTTCAAGGGAACTCGACGATTTCCACTTCATTTGCTTCTTTTCTTCCTTCGATCTTTAGTCCGTTGCCTCCAAATCACATTGAGTTGGATTTTCATACTCAAGGTCAAACAGATTCTTTGATCTGTTGTTGCGCTCATCGCTCGCTCGGCAAAGTCCCGGTAGCACTCCCGGACCCCAGGTGCAGGCCAAGGTTACAAGCGGAATACCGCAAAGACTTGGGGCATAGCTTTTCAACTACCAAGGAAATCAGGTATAATCAGATATATATATGCCCGATTCTGTACATTTCATGCTAGCAAATTTTAGTAAGGGAGTTATATTACCACCCCAGAGTACTGTAAATTTGATCTTTCTAATGCCCTATCTTTTTCCCCTTATCTTTTCTTTCCCCCCTATAACCATCCCCTATAACCAGAACCTAATAATCCAACTATAGCAGTCACAACCAGTCAGAAATTAATCCTAGGTAAGATCTATCTTATTTATAAGTAAATAAACCTATAGTATTAAAGCTCCCTCTCTCTCTTTCTCTAATTAACTCGCTTAATTAATTTGCTTACCCTATTTATAAATATTACAAATAATTATCTTAATGCCCAGCAATTTATTAAGGGCGCCGACTACGTTATTATACTACAAATGCCTTCATTTCCTAATATATTAGAAGGTTTTACTCTTATAGATATAGATAAACAAACCTACTATAGCTAGGTTTATAATAGAAGCTGTAGAAAGATTGAAATTAAAGTTAAATTTAAGGGTATTAATAGTATTTATTATTACATAACTCAATTAGGCAAGTATTAATATAAATAGGATAACCGGCTTGAGGTAGAACGCTAATAGTAAGAAGGTAGGGGGATTATTTATATTTATATTAATATAATTGAAAGTACTACCGAATTTATTAATTCTCATAAGAATTTATTCATTATTAATAATTATTAATTATTAGAATAGAAGTAATAATTTTAAATATTTATTACTAGTATTATTCATTATACTCTTTTGATCTCTTAATAAAGTCTAGTTTATTACCTAATACTGATAAGTCACATTGTAAATACCAATCTTTAAACTTATTTTTTTTAAACTAGTAATAACTTCTAAACTTTATAACTTCCTTTATCTATAACTCAAAGGCAATACTATTATTTTCAACGAAGGAAATAGCTTTAAAGCTGTTAATACCAATAGTAATATTAACAACTATCTCCCAATTTCTCTAGTCGATAGTTGCCCGGTTAATCTCTTTAATATTGATAAAGTAATTTTCTAATCTATTTAGGAAAATAGATATACTATTGTCTTTAAAAGACTTTACTACCATAGCCTTTTTATTAATAACTAGAGTATTCCAGTACTTTAATACTATATAAATAACTATAATCCTTTTATTAAAAATGGACTATTATTTACCCACGTACTCCTTCTTCTAATCTTTTATAGCTAACTCTATCTCCTCCTTTAATAACTTCTTAAATAACAAATTAATAACTATATTAAGCAGCTAGAGAAGGCTAGTAAAACTACCAAGGATTATAGCTAGTACTACCTTTATATCCCTAAGCTTATTTCTAATTCGCTAAGTATTATAAGATAGGCATACATTTATAACCAATAATAACTCTTAAGTAAACTCTCTTATAGTAGGAGTAAATTTGTTATTAAATTAATTAAATAATAAATTTTCATTTTAATACGCTACTTTATTAAATTATACCTTTATATCTTATACGTAAAAAACTCTCTCCTCAATAATAGTTTTAAAGCTCCCTTTACTATAAAAGATAATTATAAACTTAAAACGAGTAACTCTATTAATAAAAATATATAAAATTAAAGTAGCTTACCACTTACCCTAACCACTATAGTTAATCTTACCTATTACAGACTTACTACCCTTTATTATATATAAATAACTATCGAAATATTTGAAAGGTAGGAGAATCTTATCAAAATTTATAATAGTAAAAGAAAAATATCATATAGTTATACTAAGTTCAATAGGCTAGCTATTATACTTAATAAACCTATAGGTCAAAATAGTTAGCCTCTAATAATCTCTAAGCCTTTATTAAATTTCGCTAGGTCTTTATCAAATTTCTATAGGTCTTTTTTTCTTTAGAAGAAAAAAGGAGAAAAAAAGTATAGGTATAGGTATAAGTATAGGTATAAATATAAGTATAAGTATAGGTATAAATATAAGTATAAGTATAAGTATAAGTATAAGTATAGATATAGATTATTATTATATAAATATATAAATTTACTTTAAAAATAACTTTACTATAGTAAGCAGTTCAATTAGTAACCGCTAGGCTTAATAAGTAATCCTTCTATATACTATATAATAATGCAATAGAAAGTTTCTAAACTAGTTATAAGAGAAGGAGAATTCCTATTGGCGTACTTACTCTGGATAAATAGTATAGAATAGAATAATTAATTCTCAGTAGAACTATACCCCTATTACTGATAAATTCTCTTATTTAGTATATTAAAACTTTTTATATAATTAATATTTAAGCTCTAGCTATAGTGCTTTACTCTTTCAAATCATACGTAGTAATATAACTTCCTATATTTCCTACTAATTTTATATTGTACTAATTAGGATTTTAAAGTAGTAGCTAACTTTATATATATATACATTTCAGTATCCCTCCTCAATAATATAATTTTTATTGTAATTGTAAGTACTAATACAATGGCGGATACAATGGTAGCGGCGCGGATCGTTTTCAATAATAATAGGCACTTTAGTTTATACAAAGTATATTAATACCTACTTAAATTATTAGTACTAAGTAACCCTACTAACGACGCTATAATATAACCTTACCTAGATTTTAATTTCGTCAGTATAGTACTGCTTAATCTTAATCTTAGGCCCTCTATTATACCTCCTCTTTACAACCTTTACACCATACAACTTTAGTCAATACGTTGCTAGTTCGAGGGCGGTGGTAGGGGAGGAGGAGGAGGAGGAGGAGGAGGAGGAGGTAGTGCCCAGGCTAGTTATACTAGGATTGCTAGTATTGCTAGGATTACTAGGATTGCTAGTATTAGTACTAGTACTAGTACTAGTACTAGTGCTAGTGCTGGTGCTGCTTCACGCTCCCAGAGCCCAGTCTCTGTATTGAGATAGAATATCCCAACGTGTGGATCCATCTCTATACAGTATACGTTAAATACTAGAAAGTATTACGATATTGACGACGATGAGTTCTATAGGGGGGCAGAAGATTACAGGGCTTAGAAAGGGAGCTGGAGCGTGGGGATATTGAGAATCACGGTCTTGTATAGAAATTTTGGTGGGCATAAATGTTGCAGTATGCTTCCTGCTTATGCCTGATTTCCTTGGTAGTTGAAAAGCTATGCCCCGAGTCTTTGCGGTAAGCAGCTTATGTACTTCGCACCAGTGATACCTCCCGTCCGCACAAATCTCTGATACCCCCGTAATCGCCTTATTATCGTGTGCCTAGAGTGGCTGCGGCGTGAGGTGTTGTTCTTCTAGAGACTCTACATCAGACGGCTCGGTAACATGGCGCTGGAACTGGCAATATTCCATGGCCGGTAACAATGCTTGGGATAATGTTCCCAGGGAGACCAGTAAAAGTATGACTGGTCATAAAAGTGTTGTCCTTGTAAGTTCCGCCTTCATTCTCTTTTCTTCCATCCTCGACTCTGGAGCTAGTACTTCTTTCTTTTCGAGCCGATCCATTTTCTCCTCTCAATGTCGAGTTCTCCCTCTTCTACACCAAGGGTCAAGAAGCCCTTGTTTCGCTCCTTTCTGCTCTTACTATTCTCCCTGCTAGTCACAATCGTCCCTCTCGTCACTGGCCAGACGTGACCCAGCTACCATCTTACTCCTGCGACGAAATGGATGAATGACCCCCAACGCCCCTTCTTATTGGCATCGGGGCCAAGGCAGTTTGGGATGCTGTACGGACTGCAACAAATCCTTCCGGTGGGAGCACGGTAAAACTGGCGATTTATGTAGACCAAAACTCAGTTGAGACGTTTGTGAACGAGGAAGGGGTCGCGTCGTTGTCGGGCCTGATTTTCCCAAACCAAGTCGCAGAGGGGATTGAAGTTGTGTCAGGTGGCGGAAAGCTGACTTTGACTTCATTTAGCTACCTAGCTACGCAAGCTAGAAGTAGTGTTGTGCAGGAAAAGCATCAAAAAATGGTACAGCGGAATGATTGAAAATGCCAAGCATTGACGATAACTTCATCTTTCCTATCTGGGCACTTGCAACAAACCCCTTCCCAGTTGCCCCAGATTACCAAATTACACTTGCCGGTCGTTTGCAGCCTACGGCATTCGAAAAGCTTTACCGCGTGTAAAATCAGGTAGGTACCGATCTACCGCTTCGACTCATTTGTTTACGAATAACAGGCGGGGAGAAATAGGCGAGACAACGAAACTTTCTCGCAGCGGACTCAACAACTGCGACACACGGGCATGCGGGGACGATCGATCAAAGGCGCGGCATGAACCGGCTGTGGTTCTTTCCATCTTTGATTGGCAACTCAGACGGTCAAAGCCCGTCTGCTAGGTCTTTCCCTGACTTACATACAATTGCTGGCCGGTATCGGGACAACAGCGGTACAAGGTTGCCATTTCAGTAACAGAAAGGAAAGAAATCATCCGTCATGGATGGAACTGCCCAAGTACCTTCAATCAGGTGAGCTTTCTTGTCCAGTCTCGTCTTAGGCAAGTGAACCCCGCCGTCTCCGACCACAACACCGCGAAGTTGAAGCCACGGGGTCTCATTTACTTGGCTGGAGGAGGTATTTCAACCCAAGGAACATCAACATTACCAAGTATCAGTCCTCTCAACATCATTACGTACATTAATTCATTATCAGGTAATATCGCAAGCACCTCAATGCTCACCATCCAAGTACTCCCAATCATCCTTGGCTGGTTGGCAATCCACGACCTTCCCGGCATTGCCGCGCTCCCCGGTGCAACCACAACCCGACATATCACCAGCACCAGCAACATCGACACTAGCAGTCCGATTGCCAATGACCCCTACGATATCTCAGTCCCCAATGGCCCCCCGGTCCTCGAGCCCTTCCAGACTGAGGACCCCAAAGATCGTGATGACCAAAATGAGGGCGCAAATGAGGGTAATATCGCCGATGACCCCGACCATTTGTCTCCTAACAACGCCGCCGCTCCTGTTGAAGCCCGTTCAGCCACCCCCGACAACGCTCGATGCGCCGATATCCATGATGATACTCCTGGAGCAGGAGGGTTTCATCAGCGTGCTGCTGCTGCTGCTGGCTGCGCCCGTCCTCGACCTCGACCAAGGCCACAGACAACTCGAAACCCTCAGTTTCGCACTGTCACTTTGACCAACACTCAAACCAACACCTTTACCATGACTATGACCAACACTCTGACCAACACCCGGACCGCAACCCTAACCGCCACTGCCACCTTAACCGCCACTGCCACTGCTACTGCCCCTCCCCCTTCCTAGACATTCTCCTTCACCTCTCCGTCTGTCATCCTGTTATGTCGACTCGAGAAAGAAAGGCAGTGGACAAGTGCGTCGTGGGAGAGTCTGTGTATTGGGAGGTGCCGTATACTAGTGTGGGCTTGGATTCGTACTAGGTACGCACTGCAATGTAACAGTGGGGATGTAAGGAGTGGGTGATGGAGGGAGCTGGATGCTTGATCAGCTTTATGAAGCAGAGCGGACTGGAATGGAAACTGGAGTCTGGATGTGGGAGATGAGAAATGGGGAAGCGGCGATGTTCATACGGTTAACAATGGGACAGGGCGAGGGACATGAATACGGGGACCTCGTTGATCATCTGGAGTTGTCGAAGCATGACTGGGCTGGTAATCCTAATGACGTTGGACGTTGAAAAGTTACTGTAGTACTGGTAATAAGCATTACATTATATCTATGTCTCATACCTCTATGCACAGGTGATACTTCTCCATGTGGCAACCAGTGCCTGTTCATCACCGCCGTGATCTTTTGACCGACCTAGATATCATACCGCCAGGGCATCAAGGTCCAGTCGCCTTCCCGTCCACATCTAATCAGATCCTGTCATGGCCAAGTACTCGGCCGCCGCCCCCCTCGCAGCAACCATCCAATCCTCTGGTTCCTCCTCCACCGCTGGGCCCCTCTGGCTCTCGTACACCTGCTCTTGGTGCCTCTGGTTGAAGCCGTAAACATCGGTGTCCCTATTATCGCATTAGCATCATCATCATCATTTAAACCATGTAGTCAACATGCAGATGGAACTCACAGTTCAAACGCATCAACCCCCTCCCGTCCTTCAGCATCCCTACTAACCCACACAGCCACACTCCTCGCCGCAACAGGGAACACCCCCCACCCTCCCTCATCAATCATCACCTCGCCCGGACAAAACTTGAGCACATCCGTCCACACCTCGCCCGCATGTTCCACGCCCACATACATCCTCTTGCTAGCATGTTCCCACCAATTGGCCATCACGCACGCCACGCCCGCCCCGCCAGCCCGGCTATAGTGCCCCGTCCTCGTAAACCCAACGCAATGCGGGTGATCCAAATAATCGTACTGTGTCCCGTACGCCCACAACCGTCTCGCTAGCATCAACTTTGGAAGTACTTGCCCGCCGCACATCGGTGGCTTCCAGTGCTGAGGGTCCGGTAGGGGCGTATCTCGAGGAGACGCGGCGTCTTCGGAGGCAGGGGTGTCATTGGAAGTGACGCCGAAGGAACCGTAGAGATCGGACCAAAACACGCAGGGCACACCGGCGTTGGCGCGAAGTAAGATGAGAGAATAGGCGAGGGGTATGAAAAAGGGCGCTATCGGCGTTTCTAGCGATTGTCCCTTTTGCGTGTCGTGGTTTACGACAAAGGAGACGGCGTTGTGCGGTTTCCAGATGCAGAGGGTGTCGTCGAATAATGTGCGGAGGTCGGTGTCGCGGCTGCCGTAGGTGATCCCGGGAGCACCACCACCACCGGTGGCAGAGGCTTGGAGGTGTTCGGAGGCTAAAGAGATGCGGGAGAAGTTGGAGACTAACTGCACGTCGAAGAGAGATAAGCGATGGTGCATGAATTCGATGTAGCGCGCGAGAAACTCGGAATCTTCGCGCCAGTATTCGCCTACGATGAACCAAGTTCCTGGGCTCCCAGGGGGTCCAGGGGCGACGTGGCGGTCGATGTTTGCTAGAAATTCGCGGACAAAGGAGTAGGAGTAGTGTTTGATGGCGTCGAGTCGCAATCCACCGAGTTGGGGCAGTTGGGATTTGAGCCACCATGTCCAGTGGAAAAGATCCCGCTTAACTTCGGGGTGCTGATGGTCGATATCTGCGAACATGAGGTAATCGTAGTTTCCGTTTTCTTCGTCTACGTCCTCAGCCCACTCTTTGCCTTCAAACTTCCAGATGGCGTTTTCCTTGCGCAGGTCGTCGTAGTCAATTCCCGTAAAGTGTCGCGCCGACCAGCGGAGCGGGGAGTACATCCCCTGTCTTCCTGGGAAATCGTAACCGGTCCAGGCTTCGATCTCTGTAGGCTTTCTGTCTAGCACTACTCGTCGGTCTTTGGGGTCCACGCGTCGGGCGAGGACGGGCTCCTTAAAGTCCGCGGCGGCTTTGTGGTTGAGCACGGCGTCGAAGAGCACCGAGACGCCGTATTGAGCTCCGACGGCTACTAATTGCTGGAGTTCCTCCTTTCCGCCCCATTTCGTCTTGCGAGAGCCCTTTTGCTCGAACTCGCCTAGGTCGTAGAGGTCGTAGATGTCATATCCGTTACCGGTCTTCCAGCTGGCCTTACAAGCGGGTGGGATCCAGATCTGGGTAATGCCAAGCTGGGCGAGCGTGGGGATAATTTTGGTCAGGCGTCGCCAGTGTTGGAAATCCGGAGGACAATACCACTCGAACCCCTGGACCATGGTGCGGTTGGGCGGACATGGTGCGTCTGGCGGGTAGGGGGTGTAAGTGCTGGGGAGAGAAGTAGCAGGTCGGCGATGACGGAGGGGCCGGAGTTGGGAAGATGTGCCGCCGTAGGGTGGTGGTGGTTCCAGGGTCGGGCTGGGATACTGGGGAACTAGACCGAGGAAGGCGCTCATTTTGGCTGTCGGGGTTGTTGAGATGGTGAGATGGTTAGAGCGGCCGTAGCTGTGAGAGGTAGCGGAGATGGGATGAGATGTTTACATATAGACATTTTAACCTGGTGGATACAGGAACGGTCATGGGGACGGGGTTTGACCGCTTCCATCTCCATGGTGGTGGTGGTGAAGGTGGTGGCAGTGGTGGTGAGAAAGTGGAAATGGCGGTGCCGGGATGAGGTGAGACGACCGGAAATCTGGGGTTGTCAACAGAAATATGGGTTCTGTTTCGTGGCGTTTGGATGTCTCGTGTGATGGTTGTCCTTGTTGGAATGTTCCTCCACGATGTTTGATCCGTGACTCGACTTGGTGATCTGGAGGACTGGAATACTTGAAGCTCTTCCTCCTGACACCCATCTTCCTTTGCTGACATTCTGGCATTTTTCCTGATCATCCCCTTCCATCTGATCACCGTCCATCGTTATTCAAGATACCCAATATTCTGTCCATCGGATCTCTGCCGAGCCTCGCACACCAGGGCATCTCCCAGTGGAAATCGAGCTTCGTATTGGCGGTCTCCACGCCCCCTGTTCCGACCCCATCTTTCACTGCAGAATGGGCCATCATTGGCTTCCCATCAGCAGCCAAACACTTCGCCGGGATGCTCGCTGCAACGGCCGCCCCACGGGTCCCTGATGATCGACCACCTTCCGCGTGTTCCATGGACCAAGTTCGACGTTCTTCCAAGCCACCCACCCACACCGAAAGTCAGGATCGGCAAAAAACCATCGATTCTTCTGTTTCAAGGTCCTTGTTTTACGAGATTTGAAGTACACTACGCAAGGCGTGCGACGGTGTCTGACGGGCCGACGGGTGCCATCGGTCGAGAGAGTCTAAAACATTCCAGGCGGGTGACGGTTGGGAGCCTCGTGGCTTCGCGGGGTACACTGAGGTACTAACGGTAGCGCATTGCGGGGGTTACAATGGTCGGGGACAGGAGAGGTGTCGAGGAGGAGTTGGCTGGATGGATGGGGAATTGAATTGCAACTGGAAGAGTGTGGAATTCCTCGAGATTCCAACGCGCTGCCCTGGTGCGGATAAAGCGTCGCTTCCGGCCGGCAAATAGCGTAGAACGGACGGGAAGCCTGGGCGCTCGGGCTTCGATCGGTCGGTGCATGCGCAGCGCTCTCAGTGGATGGTGTTAGCGCCATTGCATACCTACAGTCAAGGTGTCGTTACGTCCGGATTGATTGTGATTTTCCAATCCATTGACAATGACTACCTATCCGAACTCATTTGTCAGGCACAAGGGAAAATTGAAGCATTACAGTTTCTATCGGACTGATATCGGACGGAAGGTGGTGTAATGCGAGGGAGGAGGGATCATCTTGCACACGCAGTATCTGCTATCTCTACCATCACCAACATGACTGACACCACTAACACTTACATTTTATCTATATCAAACCCTAACCCGACCTCTAATCAACAGTGTCACCAGGCCGGGCTAGAAAAGTAGAAGAGGGAACATGGGAATAGGCATAACGAGCATTTATCAATCGAATTTGAACTGAGTAGAGGTATCATTGGTATCAAGGATATAGTCTTTTGCCCTACTTTTCCTCCCAAACGCCTTAAACGCCGCCGCTGTCATATGACATGCTTCACAGAAAAATGCTGACCCCAACGCCAAACCCATACATGTACATCATGAACAACCATCAACAATCACAGTCGTCCCCCCTAATGGTCCGAATCCAACAACCTCACAATCGCATAACTCGTCCCCGCCGCCAACGCCCCAATAATCAACGTCTGCACCGCTCCCCAAACCCCGGCCTCCCTCGTCCTAATCGTCACCCAATTCTTGACAAAGCCAAACCCAAGCAGAATCAACGCCGTGATAACCACCGACACCCACAACGCCTCCCTCGCTCTCTCCATAAAGAAATACGGCAGCATCGGAATCAGACCACCCACAAAGTAACTAAGGCCCATCACTCCAGCACTGACCCACGCCCGGTTAAGATCCGGCTCCATCATGCGCACCTGGAGATCCATCAAAAACCGAACCAGATTCTCTTCGTTTCCCTTTCGACACAGATCCTGCACCAGCGCGGCAGCCGTGGCGCGCGACACCCCATAATGCTCTTCCAAGATAGCCAAAATCTCCGACTGCTCCAACTGCGGCAGATTCGACACCTCCCACGCTTTGCGCGCATGCTCCGCCTCCCAGTGCTGTCGCTCCGTCACGCCCGCCAGGTAAGCGCCCAAGCCCATGCTGATCATCCCCGAGAACAACTCGGCTAAACCGCCCATGATGACGAGTTTCGTGGATCCCAAAGTGGAAAGACCGGCGGTCAGCGCAAAGGGGACTGTGAGGCCGTCGGAAAAGCCGAGGATGATGTCCCGGAAGAGACCGTCAAAGGTGTTGGATTTTTTGGAGGATGACGAGGAGGCGCCGTCGGAAGACTGCGGCAGGTGTTGGCGCGGGCACGGCCCGGCGGCGGCGGTGGCTGTGACGGAGGAGCTGGTGAGGCAGGAGCGCATACTGCGGATTGAGCCGGGCCGGGTTTTGTGTGGTTCGTATTCTGAGGGGGGCAGGTCGGCTGTTGTAGGTCTGGGGCCGAGAAGTGGCGATGTTTCTGGTGATGAAGTCATGGTGTTTGTTGTTGGTCGGGTCGGTGATGTTTTTGGTTCAAGTTGAGATTGTGGTATGTTGACTTGTGACGGATGGTATCTGGAAATTGGTGTGTGGCTGTTTCCAGTAATTGAAATGAGAAGGAAGTGTTCAATGAAGGAGGACGGGTGCAATAAAAAGCTGGCGAAACAAGAAACAGCAAAGGCCGTTTGATCAGAAAACCGAGGAAGGTGGAAGGTGATGTGAAAGGTGATCCATGTCACTTCACCCTGGGGTGGGGCTAAGAATGCTGACCATTCCCTGTTTTTCTATTGGCCAGAAAAAGGCAGCATCTGGGGGCTGGGGGTGAACGCAACCAAGCTTGATCTTGGTGCAGGCAAGAGAACTCCAGGTTAACTAACCAGACACCCAATCATATCTCTTGCATTTCTGTTTTTCACCCTTCTCCTCACCTTTGAACTTTTCCATCTTTGGCAGTCGGCGGGTTTCACTTTGGTCATCCTCCTCATCTTTCTTGCTGTTGATTTGCGAGCCTGCGAGATGCTCCAGGAAGCTAGAGCAAAGCAGAGACACCATGCGGCACGATGGCCATCATTGTACCAGGTAGGAAAGAGGGACAACAATAAAGGGTTTTTCCCGGTGGTTGGTTGCTGGTAAGCTTTACATTGGTCTGCGTGACAATGGCTGGCTGTCCTTGTTCGGCGTCTCTCTCGTCTTTGTTTACTTTGGTGGGGCGTACCCCTGGGAAAAGACCCACTCCTTCCAACGCAGTGAGGACCTATGCAACCGAAACATCGTCATGTCTCGTCCGTCGTTGTGCAAAACAAATTCCTTGCCTTGTGCCAAAGCAATCATGAGGGTTCATTCAATCCAGAGGTACCAATGCATAGAGGACTCATTTCGATCCATCTCAGTCCCAGACATCTCCCTCGTGTTGTTGAGGTACCCAAGTATGCAAGGATAATGGATGGGATGTTGTAAAGTAGAAGTTAAATCTATAGCACTAGGTAGATAGTAGAGACAGATTTTATGAAAAGAAAGAAGTAAGACCTCACAAACAAAGATCCCAAAGAACTCCTTCTTACTCGTTAAACACAATATCCAACCATGTCTTAACCATCTATCCAAGAAGTCGCTACCGTAGAGACATGAACAGCTGAAAGTCAGAAACCATCTCATCCACCTTTATGATTCCATGATACAATCGACCTCTACACTTTACCAAAAAATCCCTTTCCCCCTTCCATGATCAACTCCTTCTTCCCCTCTCTCACCTTGTAGCCCAGCTGGAAATCAACCGGCTCCAAAATGACATGACTATTCGTCTTTTGCGTGTCAATCGGCACCTCTTTGCCCGTGACTGGACATGTCTTTGGGGTAACATCAAATGCCCACAGAAGCGCCGCGCCAAAGACAAACATTTCGTCGTCGACAATGTTCTGCCCGAGACAGGTGCGCCTGCCCCAGCCGAACGAGTGCATCGAGGATCCCTCGCGGAAGTTGGGGTACCGCGTGAGGGGGGCCTGGAAAGTTGGATACGAGGGGTCAAGGTAGCGGGCTGGGTTATAAGTTTCTGGGTCTGGGTATTTCTGGGGATTGCGGTTGAGGGTCCTGTGTGTTGAAGTGAGTGTTAGCGATGCTTGGGATTGGCACGGGTGGATAGAAGGAGCCTAGGTAGTTAAGACATACCATTCACAAGCTAGAACAATTGTGCCCTTCTTGATCTTGACGCCCCTAAACTCATCATCCCTCTCCGCCTGGTGTGGCACGCCAAGGGGGACTCCGCTCCTCCATCTGACCGTCTCCTTCAGGCAGGCTCGGAGAATGGGAAGCTTCTCAAAGTCTTGCATGGTCGGCATACGGTCACCGCAGACCTCGTCAATCTCTGCTTGCGCCTTGTGTTGCCACTCCGGGTGCAGAGCCATGGCCATCTGGAAGAACTTGAGCGGGCCCGAGATGGTGACGACGCCGACGAGGTTGAGGAAGCCGATCATGCACGAGGCAAACGTCTCGTCCTTTTCGGGTTGGTCGAGTGCGTCTTTCTTCTCGTATGCCTCCTCCTTAGCTGCTGTGGAAGGGGACTTCTCGGCATTCTTGACATCCGGACCTGGGGCTCTGGCGGTGGCAGGCATCGATGGCGCCGTATTCTGCACCATCTGCTCAAAATACCTATATGCCCACGTATCGCTTGGTAGTTCACCCTTCCTCATTCTCTCTTTAGCCTTCCTAAACAGGCCCAACCACCATTGCCTCAACTCTGCCTCTCTCTTGACTTCATACTTGTACCATGGGTTAATGCTGGCCGGCAAGGACCACAACGGCGTCATGGTGTTGGTAATAGGTCCTGAGACGGACATGCAATGCAGAGTCTTGTCGGCGCTCTCTCCGTTCAGGCGGCCCTGCGTGGCGTCGTCCCAGGCTAGGCGGCTCATAACACGACCACAATACTCGCGCGTATGGTCGAGGAAGCGATCCGGATCGAAAAGCAGCACGACCAGGAAGCGGCGCATCTCCGACTCAACGTGCCCGTAGAAGTGGTGCTTGTAGGCAGCGGCCATGGCGGCGTGAGCCCATTTGCGTTGCGATTTCCAGGTGTCTATGCTCTGCATTAACAGACATTGCCTCAAGTCGGTTGAAACGAAAAGAACTCACCATGACGATCCATCAAAGCACTATAAACCACTCCCTCTTTATGGCCAATCAAGCTCCGGATCTGCGGTCGCCCGGAGTAGATGTGTCCCCGTTTTACCAAGAGCTCCTCGGCAATCTTTTCATCTGATATAATGACAAAGGTGGCGTCCGGGACCGAAGTCGTATAGATGGGGCCAAACTCGTCTGCCCACTCCTTAAACTTGAGCCAAAGCGAGAAGCGTGGCAGGTCGTGGATGCGTCCAACAATGGGAAACTGGCGCGGGCCGGGGAACTTGGCTTTGCTCCCCGAAGACCCCACCAAGGCAGTCTTCTTACGCCATGACAAGATTTGCTGCACGGCGGATATCAGAAGAGACGGTATGGCGAGGTAGAGAAGTAAGAGCGTAAGGTTGGATGTCTCCATGATGGGCTGAACGAGATGACCGATGGCAACTATATGAGTAAGGTACAAGTTCAGTCCTGCCTTGCGTGGACAGGTCTTGTGTGTAGCTCACGAGTGTGAGGCGTAGAGTGGGGGTCCTTTCTTTCACTGTGTTGTCTGTGGATGAGGTGAGATACGATCGATGGGATTCGGGCGAGTCTGAACTATAAGCGGCGACGTAGAAACCAAATCCGAGGGGCTGAAGAAGGACGTCGTCAGGCCCGAGTTAGGAAATGAGTTGAGTGTGGGGATGGCGATAAAGTTGATGAACGACAACGAATGTCAACGACGACATATATCTACACACTCTTGGTAGTTGCCTTTTCACTGAAAACCCAGAGAAGAAGTGGAAGACAGAACGAGACCTAGGTCTAACATAGGGGGGAGGGTCGGAAGCCGGGAGTAGCACACTTAAATCTTTTCCATGCATTCCAGCCACAAGACAGACACGGAGGCCGAGACATCTCTGTTCCAGCAGGGAGGGACACAAGAAGAAGTAAGTCGAGGACTGGCTGTGGACCAAAGCGGTGACAGCTTAGAACAAAAGTCCATTCTTCAGCCCCAAACCGACTGCGGCGACTTGTTGGCAAAACCGTACACTAGATACGCCCCACCCCCTCCTTCCTTCCAATGATCGTAAGTGAAACCCTCCTTCGGGGAGTTGGCGCCATTTAGAAGATATTGGTTACCGGTTGTCCTGTTGTCGACAATCGCTCGTCAGTCCGGGGTAAGATTCTTATCAGGCAATAAATATCAAGAGTTCCTGGTTCGTGAGAAGCGAGTACAGGTAGCTCGGTAGGTTGGCGACAGCTGGGTAAGTACCTCTACCGTACGAGGTGTACGCGCATCTAAACGACCAACAAGGGTCTGTGTAGGGAATGTTCCAAATTGCGTGGCCACCAGACCGAAGCCGCAAACGGTACCTGTCCGACAAAAATCCTGATTCAGCCCAAGTACATCTCCTCATCACGAGCGAGGCACAACGCTAGGAGCTTGCAGTGCAGGAACAGAAGTAACGAGCACAATGTCCGGAGACAGCACGAAGCAGAGTTGGGCATTCCAGGGTAGGTGTAGGTATTGCCGCTTGCATCCATCCCCCCCAGCTGTTGTCGCCCACTCCCTGCACTACGTGGACTCCAGGAGAATGGGAGTACAAACAACAAGGTACACACCCAAGAGGGGATGGCTGAAGACTCTGATTGCTGAACGACACGAAGTCGAGACATTTGATAGTCGAGGAGTTACCTTTTCGGGGTCAAGCAGTCCAATCCGCTCTGAGGATTTTGCTGCTCGTGTTCCCAGTGTATGGACGCCACAGCCGCTCTGACAGCTTCGACATTGGACGAGGCTGCTGTCTAGGGAGAGTGTATGTCTAGGTCAAAAATAGGTAGCAGGGAGCATGCGGCAGAAATATGACAGGGGCATTCCCTGGGCATGGGGTTGGAGCTATGTAGTCACTGAATTATGTGTAAACCCGGCGCAGAGAATTCCAAAGAAAGATGGATACGTAGAGAGCTTGACCCAAACGCCGTCTTTCGAGAACAGGACGGCAGGACCAAAGTTTGGGGAATGTCCGTAGCCTGGGATGTGTATGGTGTGTTGCTGAACGGCAATGATGCCAAAGGGCCGAAGCGAACGAATCAACTTGCACACCATGTCTAGGCGCGGCTATGATTCGCGCACACACGGGAGAGCATCCTGTACGATCCTCATGCAACATATAAGACGGGAAAAAAACAAACAACCATCTGATACACTACTATCCACAGAGGCCCTGGGACGGTTGTCTTCATAGTACACCTTTCAAGAATCTGGCGATTACTTGCATGTGCAATAAGCTTGCCTACTTGGGCTTAGGCCTCAAGCGAGCGGAATCAATATCCCTGACTTGATTCGGGTGAGCAAGGGAGACCCGGACCCGAGGAGCCGAATGGGCCATCCCCGGAGGGGGGAAGATGGGGAGAAGTGAGTGGAGGGCACAATTGGCGGCTGACATGAGAGCAGTAAGTCCAAAGATACGACAATGGCCCATTATGGGCGAGGCTGCGCTGGCAGTCATGGTTGGCTCAGGCGTCGACTCAAGAAAGTGAATGAAGCTGACGAGCCATGAGGTGACCAGCATAGCATAGGGCCAACAAATCATATCCGGGTAATGATGGCTTGATGGTCAGAGGTAGAAACCTCTGCACCCGAGATCGCAACGCAGTGTGACCATGGCATGGCGGAGGTGAGCCTAGCACTTCCCCTTGCTTCTCCGATTCCTTCGCTTGTTTTTTTCTTCTTTTTTTTTTCTCTCTTCTTCAGCAGGTTTCAGTCCAACTGGGGTTCTTCAGAAACGAGGTGACTGCCGTGTTCAAGAACAATTACCCTGGTAAGGGTCGCGAACGACACGTGCCTTGTGTTGATGCGGAAGCAGTTTGGGTATGCAAAGAGCAGACCGGCAATCACACATTACAGTCCAAAGGCTTCCTGCTTGGGGTGCTGCACTGAGTATTGACGTGGCCGGGATCTCTATGGCATCTTGGCCACTTGGCGTGCTGTGCCGAAAGTAATAAAAAAAAAGGGTGACGGTGTTGCACGACATTGGGATTATCCCGAAAGTCGGCATCATCTCGACGCCGGGTTGTCTGCTAAAAAGCCACTGGCGTAGGTTGTTCTTCTGGTACGAATGGATCAGGGAAAATACCTGCTAACTGACCTGCTCCGAGTCATTAACCCTGAGCTGTTGTGTTGGAGCTGAAGAAGGATGGGAGATCTGATATGGGTAGTCCCTGGCATACTTTGACTTGACAGCGAGACAGTCTCGAGCACAGCAGACTGTCGTCTAAGGGACAAGGTGACTACCAGGTTTTCGTGGCGTTATGTGCGCAAAGGCGGATGGGTGCAGTGGGAAGGGGATGCTGGCCTTTGGCATATTCCGTTACACAATGGCTTAAGCAGCGACCCTGTGTGGATGAAGACCGTCCGCCTCGCCTATCAAAGAGGCCGAGACGCTGACATGAAAATGGTCGACAGGCCTTCCTCGGGCTGGTATCCGTATCACACACATGCAGCCGAGAGGCTTTGCGGTGGCGCCCCGTCTGCGTCTGCCATCGGGACCGAGAGACGCATCACGGCCGAAGTAGCTAGCTAGCAGTATGAAGGCCAGTGGAGGTGTTGATACCCAAGACGGCTGGTGGGGAAGGAAATCGAAATCTGCTCTTGTTCGATAGCAAGCCGCTATTGTGACGATAGTTTTTTGTCCTTGGGAGGGCGACTTGGGGTTGTGATTGGAGGATTCTGGTCGCGGTACAACTCTTCAGCTTCTCGGTGGTGATGTGGGCGCGAGTGGCTGCGGAGATGGCTGCTGTTGAGGGGGAGTACTTTTCCTCCTTGATTCAGACATCGGGGAGGTGTATTGTCTTTCTGGGCCCCGTGATGTCAGCCATCCATGAACTACTTACGGTGTAGTCTAGACACCCAGGGACCAGGGAAACGGGGCGGGCCGCGCAGGGATGGATCATAGGGTGAGGGAGTGAGCACTGGGAGAGGTAACGTTAGCAAGGGCTCACCCAGAAACTGTGAGAGAGTGTAGCCAGAGTAACTAACGACAGAACTGAAGGCAGAGGAGCTAGAACAACCTCGTGACGCAAATGGCCACTGATGCGGTGAGTGTACCTAAGTACGTAGTGTAGTAGGCATGTGAGAGCTGATATATCTCAATGGCGTCTGGTGTAGTCGATACGAGAACTGAAGCCGAGGGTGCGGCTGGTGGGTGTAACTAGAGACTCCATTTAAGGAGCATGCGTCCCTGATCTCGCCTGAAGCTGCTTTACTTGTCCGTGGGTTCGTTTGAGAGGTGATTCTCGAAATGCTCCCGTATACCCATGATGTTTGTCGATACCCGAGATCAACCGAAGTGGTTGAAGACTGACATTGACTGAGAGACAGACAGCAACACACAGAAAGAGCCGCACTCAGCAACGCAACCTCCCCATTTCCCTTTCTGTCCATGCGTTGTAGCGTTACCCATGGATTAGGAGTAAGTAGGCGCTTCCCTACCTACCCAGATTGGGGCAGTCATCCAGTCAGTCTCTGTCACCATCCGTCTCACGCTTGTCGTGCACGCTGCTTGTCTGACGCTGGACAACGACTGACTGCCTGGGTAACTGACCACGTCCCAGTGCAATGGACCATGGGGTGGTTTGGAAGGCCAAGGGAAGCAATTGAGAGTTGCACGAGGGACCCCTCTGTGCTCCAGGGATGGAAAGACATGTCATGGCTTTGTTCGAGGTTGAGACATTGATCAAGATGGGGTTCCAATCTGTTGGTTGATGGGATGATGGAACCCGACATGGGAATGAATGGAATGGAATGTGGTGAAGTGGAAAGAAAGATGGAAGGGGGACGAGATTCATTGAATGAGAGGAGGAAGCCCGTTCTAGTGCAGTGAGATGGAGGAAGAAGTGCACAGGCCAACTTGATCAAGGTTATTCTTAAACGCGTATGCCAGGACCTCGATGTTCCAGCCAGCAGAGTAGTGTAAGTGGAACTTGGTCTCCAGAGTACCTACCTATTGGATGTAAACGGACTGGATAGTAACTTGAGAAACGACAACTTCTTTCAAGCTTATACAATCTATCAAATATCAGCTTCTTATTCGCACATGACGGTTGTGGCTCTTGTCCCAGATATGCCATACATTCGTACCTCTACCAACCGAGGCCTTGGCATATGCGTTTAATATCTGGGCGGGGCAGCTGACGGTAAGTACTTAGGTCCATGCCACTGGGGGAAGACAACCGCGGGCTGGTTGATTGATGTCATTTTCGTGATCAGGCCACGGTGCTTCTCCTCCTCCAACACGACTGGATCGCCAAAACACAAAAAAGTCAACAAACAACACATTGACCGCACTCATCCGGCAATAGGTACACGCGCCCGCCGGCCAGATGACAACCACCCACGTGCTGTCGCTTCCCTTCCGGAAGTCGACCCAGCTGTCACTGTCGCGCGCCATCCAGCAGTACATTTCCACCAAATACGACCAACACCCGGACATGTTCCGCCATGACCTCGACACCATCGATGCTCTGCGCCGCGACGCCATCAACGTCCGCGAAGCCCACCCGAGTGGCATCCGGAAGCTCCAGATGTACGCCGCCCAGCTCGTGTGGATTGGCGGCAAGTTCCCCATCGATGTCGGCGCCGACTTCACCTGGTACCCGGCTCTGGGCTACCACACCGAACACCCGCTCGTCCAGAACAACCTCAAGTACGAGCTGATGAACGTCCTCTACAACCTCGCCGCCCTCTACTCCCAGCTGGCCGTGGCCTCCAACCGCAACAGCACCGAAGGCCTCAAGACGGCCGCCAGCTGGTTCTCCCACGCCGCCGGCGTCCTCACCCACATCAAGACCCAAGTCCTGCCCGAGCTGCGCATGCCCAGCCCGCCCGACGACATGGACGAAACCACCCTCGAGTCCCTCATACAGCTCTTCCTCGCCGAGGCCCAAGAGTGCTACTGGCAGAAAGCCGTCATGGACGGGTACAAAGACGCCTCCATTGCCAAGCTAGCCGCCCGTGTATCCGACCTCTACAACGAAGCCGGCGAGGCCGCCATGCGCAGCGAGGCCATCAGCTCGGCCTGGATCCACCACATGAGCGCCAAACACCACCATTTCGCCGCCGCCGCCCAGTTCCGCGCCGCCAGCGATTGTCTCGAACGCAAGAAATACGGCGAAGAGATTGCTCGGTTGCGGGACGCCCTCGCCTGTGTCAACGAAGGACTCAAAGAAACCCGGGGTGGCTACCTCAGCAAAGCCGTCGTCGAAGACCTGCAGGGCCTCAAGCGTCGCCTGGAAGAGGACCTCAAGCGCGCCGAGATCGACAACGACCGCGTCTACCTGCACATTGTGCCGCCCAAGACTGAGCTCAAGCGTCTCGACCGCGCCAACATGGCCGTCGCCCGTGTGCCTCCCCAGGTGGCCAAGCCGTACGAGTTTCTGGGCGACCACAACGCCGAATTTGGGCCGGCCTTGTTCACCAAGCTCGTCCCCTTTGCCGTACACGTGGCCGTTTCCATATACGAAGAGCGTCGCGACAGGCTGGTCAACAACTCCATCATCTCCGAGCTCGAGTCCATGACATCCCAACTTCACGAAATTCTTTCCTCTCTCAACCTCCCCGGTTCCTTGCAAGCCCTTGAAAAGCCGCTCGGCCTTCCAGGCACCTTGGTCCAGCACGCCGACGAGATACGCCAAGCCGACGCCCTCTACCGCCTGCAGCAAGGCTTGACGGACATTGACAAGCTCTGCTCTTCGGACCTAGCCATCTTCGAAGAAGGCCGGTCCCTCCTTCTTGCCGAAGAGGAGGAAGACTCTCGTCTCCGTCTAAAGTACGGTACCGAACGGTGGAACCGCCCGCAATCTCGTCAGGATCCGTCCCCCAATGGCGGGGCTAAACTTTGGCGACAGGCCCAAGATATTGAAGGCTACTTTGGCTCTTCCACAGCCTCGGACCAAGTAGTCCGCGAGAAATTCAACGCCGTGAGGGACACGCTCGCCATTCTTGCTGGGTCGGATCGATCAATCATGGATTTCATCCCCAACTCGCGACGGACCGACATCCCCGAGAGCTTGAAGCCGGCCCTAGGAAGGCTACGAAGCGCCTACAACGACGTGCAGCGTCTTGAGTCCCGCCGGCGCAAGCGCGTCGAATCTTTGCGCGCTCGGTCTCGTGCAGATGACATCAAGCCTGACATCCTCGTCGAAGCCGCTCGCTTAGAACGGGCGTACCCGACAACCGCCATCGCAACCGCCCACTTTGAGGACTTCTTCGAGAAACGCCTCGACCGCCTATACGAATCAGAGCTGGAGGCCGTGGAAAGGGATAAGCAAGAGCAGGAGAAGATTGTACAGGAGGTGAAGAGGGCGAATAAGGAGTTTGAGGCACAAAAGAGGCAGGTCGATAGAGCCGGGGGAGGGAATCGAGAGAGAGAAGAGGCGCTCCAGAAGCTGGATGCGGCCTATTACAAATACAAGGAGATTGTGAGCAACGTGGAGGTCGGGAGGAAGTTTTATAACGATCTGAGCCAGATTGTAGAGCAGTGGAGGGGGTTGGTAAGGGGGTGGGTGAGCGAACGGAGGAGGGATGCGAGGAGTCTTGAAGAGTATGTCCTTCTTTGTTTCGGTTCACCCTTCTTTTTGTCTTCATCCTACCCGTCTTGCCTTTCTGAAGCTAACCAATTCTCAACAGGGAAATCAACATGCCCCCTCTGTCCTCCCTCAACATGCATCAATCATCATTTTCGTATCAACAACAACAGCAACATCACCAACAACCACCACCGCCACCACCACAAATTCCTTTCCCCGAACCCATCCAACCTCATCAGCCAATAGTCGAACAAGCGCACATCCAAAGCTGGGCCGACAACGTGCCACAACAACAGCCAAAGCCAGTAGCTCCTGGGGCGTGGGCACCAAACATGGGGATAAAATTCGGATCCCCTGTGGCCCAGGGGCAGCAGCATCAACAAGAGCAGGGGCAACCAGGACCGGTAAACGCTACATGGGATCCATCTCAAGGGATCCGGTTTGGGTAGCCGGTAGTTGTGTGCTGAGGTGAATTTACCAGGGCGGGCAGGACAGGAGACAGACTGGCCAAAGTCCCTACCGTCCGCGACTGGAAGTGTATGTTTCGGAGCATCATTCGATGGATTTGGCACATTTAGTAGAAGCATAGCATAGCGGGACTGGAATTTACTCTATCTTTACACGGATGGCAAAACAGAAGCTTGATCTTGGTACTCAGCCTAAATATCCGGCTCCCTTTTTCTTTTTGATTCCCTCATGTATCAGGTCCACCTCAGAGTTAGAGCCTGGAAGGCGGATTCTATCATACACAGGCGACCGGGGCTAGGTCGAAGACCCGCACTCCTTCTTGATCCCCTTCTCGACCAGGCATGTAGCCGGAGCTATCGCCGTTGCTGACATAGAGAATTCGGACATCTTGGGTGGTGCACCTTCAACCGACATAACCCATAGGGACGGGAAGCAAATGGTTCTTGACTTCACCACTCGCCCAACACCAGCCGTTCTTTCCCACTGATGCATCATGTTGGATTTGAACTTGCTTTAGCTTTGGCAACCTTCGGTGCAAACCTACCTCTAGAAAAGGATCGAGTGACGGAAGTCACCACTCAAGTAAAAAGGCACCTCTCTTCTCGACCTCGAGCAACGACCGGCAATTTCTTCTCAGAATCATTCTGACAGCAGCATCAATTCCTCTCCACTACTGTACAGCCAGGACATCAGCATTCGCTAAACGCATTATCAAGAATACTATTAACCAGTAAAGCCAACCGCCAATATGTTAGTCAAGCACCGGGCATCTCCCGCATCCCTTCCATGTCCCACACCACTGACCCCGTCCCCCACGTACCCCTATCCAAGACAGACACTAACTACCTAACAGGTGCTACGAAGAAGAAGTCGTCCGCGAAGTCGTCACCGCTGCCTCCAGCAAGGACAAAGACAAGGACAACAGCAACACATACACCATCAAGGTTTTAGTCAAGAAGTGGAACGATTGCGGCTCCAAAAGTTGCCCCCAGTCGACGTCTTACGAGCCACATGCACTTGCCTCCAACAGCTCGTCCACCAGCTCGGATACCAAGAAGAAGTAGGATGAATATAAAGGGTCGTCCGAGCCCGAGCCATCATCGATGTTTGAGAGTGCTTGGGACGAGTACAATCTGGACGCGAATCGAAAGCAACACGAGAGTGATTCAAATTATGAGATTGATCATGGCGATCCGGATGCGGAAACTCATCCGGGCACCAAGCGCCCCGCATCTCCAGAGTTCATGAGTCAAGATGGATCGAAAAAGAGTAGAAAAGAAGAGTAGGTATCAGAAGCGAGGTTCATTGGGGGGGGGGGGGGGG